CACAAACGACCCATCGTCAATTTACAACTTTAGCTTTCTGCGTCAACCATTCCTTAGAGAATAACCACGAATCAGCTGATGGCAATATTTCTGCGACTGAACGTGTTAGGCATAATCAAACATGATCTAAGAACTACTTTACATCGCAGCGAATAGCCTCTATTTAGTCTTATTGTGTTTTTCTTTTCCGTCATTTCATCTTCTTACTTTTTCAGTTTGTAATCATTGCAACAGTATATATGTATCGACGACCTGTACAATCTCACTGAACCTGCTTACTAGCATTTTGAACTCACCTTAGCTTCTTTCAGCAAAACTAAACGATTACTTAAGCGAAAAGTTTTATAGGCATGTCTACATAAATAAACTCAACTGAAAAAATACCGACCTCAACATGTTGCCCACGCTTCGCAGCCTCAATGTCTTCTTCATATTTCATGACGTCGCCCAGCTTCCTCTCGATGTAAAGTTTCCTGAACACCTAAAATCCTTGCGGCTATTTGACGAAGCACGTTAAGTAATTAGTTAACAATACGATAAATGCTTCGAATTAAAACTTACTTCTTCGCTAACCATTTCCTCGTTCGTTACTTCTTTGTCATTTTCTTTCGCTGTCTCCAGAAGCTCTGTCAAACGACTGTCGATATCGCTTTCTGACAACGTTGGATCGGTGACAAATTCGAATATCGCTCGCAACGGAGGAACCGGTACTGCTCGCTTACGAAAGAACTCTGAAAGTACTAAAGCTGATAGTATCGAGCCTTGTCGTGCTTAATTTCCAGGACGCTCCTTACATGATAATAATGGAAAGGATTTTTCAGTAGTCGCAGTGACCGGCACCCAAAAGAACAAGGATTTGAACTTAGCGCTCGCACAACAAGCTTCAGCAAAGAACAATACTATTGTCAGCCATGGAAATTTAACAGGTTCTGACATCGGAGCCCTTACATTTCTTCATAAACTTTATTCATTTTACTGTTATCACAAAAGTAGTTGAAACAACAATAAGGAAAAGATAAGAAGACAAGAAAGAAACTCAAAATACAGAAAAGAACAGAAAGAAGAATAAACAGAAACGGAAGAAAAACGAAAAGTATAGGACAGTGAAAACGATTATAAAGAGCAGGAAGAACAGGAAAAGGTAGAGGAGGAAGAAAGATCAAAATTAGTATGCTGAACAACAGAAAGACAATATAAAAAATGCATAACAGATTAAAATGCTAACACATCAAGGATGGTCTGTGTAAGAAAATTAACCAAAAGCAAATTGACCACTTCTGCAATGACATCGACCAATATACCGTAAAATCCTCAGTATCAGGTCTTTGGGACGAAGTCGTTTAATACACATATTCTCTCCCAATGCATCTAATTTAGCGAATTTCATATCCTTTGATTTTGCCTGGTTTATATAGGTAAAGTGAGCTACACCCTACTTTTATCTCATGGAGCAGACGATGTGAAAACCATCACAGCTGCATGAGCTCGGTGTTTGGTTAAAAAATCTATCATGTAGCATCTACTACCGTATTACCTAATATTCTTTGCTTCCAGCGTTCTAAAAGATATTTGCATATTTACTTTATGCACCCACTTTTGAAGGTCAGACATCACAAATCTTGGCTACTCTGCCATACTGCTATTTACCCGAGGACAATGACAAAACAACAAACAACAACACAGAGGAGGCTAGGACATAAGTGAGCCAATAAGTTAATTCAACTAGAGCTCTATTCTTGGGTCATATGCTTTGCAAAGTAAATGTCGATTCGGTGCCAACTTATCAGATCTTCTCATTTAACAGCTGCATCTAAAATGTAAATTGAAAAATTTAAATGAAGAGCCAACATTTTGCACAACAAAGACATTGTCCATCATAAGTGCAGACAATAATCAGAGTATTTGCCCTGATGAACAAATGTCATCGTTATCTGAAACCTTGGCATTTTAATAGAATCCTTTAACTAAAATAGCCTCATCATATCCCATCCCCTTTTTGATGCCAGTCTTTACAGGAATTTTTTCGTTGATCACACCAAAAATTTTACGAAGCATTCTCAAACTGCATTTGAAATGCGCTCGGATTTCACAGGATTTAGGGGAAGGGGAACAGCTGCCATAAAATGAAACCTCTACAAAATCAACTAAGCTCAATAAAGCGCAATCTTCTAAACTAAATTCTTACGAAGGCACTGAAAAATATAATTAAGGGAAACAGATTACACGCCACTCCGAACCGATTTGAACTATAGACTTCAAAGCCAATATGGCAGCTGTATATTTTCCATACTCAATTAGAGAAAATATGGGCCGCGAGACAACAGCAGCTACAGAATAACAGGTCACCTCGTGTTGTTTAAAACAACTTTGCTGAGACCAGGGACATTACGAATGAAAACACAGGTATGTAAAATACGGGCAGTAGCTTCTGCGTTCATATTCCAAAAATTTACTCCATGGTTTCTACCCTCTGAAAACGGGATACAGTTGGCCGAAGCATCGCATCAAAACAAGTAAATTTCACGGCATTAACCTGATATGTTGAAGATATCCCGACGTAAAAATTCCAACGAATGCACATGATCGTGTTCAACAGACTGGGAAACATCGATAATATATGCCTGGTTGTTATGGTATCTATAAACACACGCATACAAATGTCATCCTGTGTTCAAAATGTAGATGGCACAGTGAAAAAATTTTAGATTAAATTTCCCATTGGGAACACTACGGCTAGTGGCACTCAAACGAAACATTTTGGCCAAGTATTCCCTTCCTGTTAAAGTAAAAAAGAAGCAAAGTCTTAAATGGGAGCTACGCTATTTGTGCTACCCTTCCTACGGGATCTAGAGAATTTCTTGTACATTTCTTGTACACAATATCACTTTCAACTTCTTGTCATAACGCGGCTACCAAACGGAACACAGTAACTCGCACTGTCTCGGGGAAAAGGGGAGGCAACGGAACAATAGCTTAGTAGCATGCTTTACACTTTAGAGGTGCCTGGTTGAAACCCAAGGCGCAGCGAAAAATTCTCTCTTAAAAATTCTAAATTCGCTGAGCAAGAAGTTCGCCCAGCCGAAGAATGGATATCAGGTCGTTAATGTGAATAATAGTGAAAATAGCATGTTGCATTTGTGTGGTCATTCCAAAACGCGCGAGAAATGTGGCCAAGCGGT